GACTACACAGGGATCAGGGACCCACTTGAGGAGGCAGTCTGTTCATTCTCAGAGCTCAAACACCATGCTGGGAGAACCACTGCTCTCTTCAGAGCTGTCAGACATGGGGGTTTAAGTCTTTAGAAGTTTCTGCTGCCTTTTGTTCAGCTACGCCCTGCCCCCAGAGGTGGAGTCTATAGAGGCAGTAGGTCTTGCTGAGCTGTGGTGGACTCTGACCAGTTTGAGCTTCCTAGCTGCTTTGCTTACCTACTGAAGCCTCAGCAATGGTGGAATCCCCTCCTCCCGCTAGACTGCAGCCTTGCAGGTCAATCTCAGACTACTATGCTAGCAGTGAGCAAAGCTCTGTGGGCATTAGGCCCACAGAGCCAGGCATGGGAGAAAATCTGCTGGTCTGCCTGTTGCTAAGACCATGGGAAAAGTGCAGTGTTTGGGTGGAAGTGTCTCGTTTTTCCAGGTACAGTCTGTAACGGCTTCCCTTGGCTAGGAAAGGGAAATCCCCCAACCCCTTGCACTTCCTGGGTGAGGCAACACCCTGCCCTGCTTCAGCTCGCCCTCCGTGGGGTGCACCCACTGTCCAACCACTCCCAAGTGAGATGAACCAGCACCTCAGTTGGAAATGCAGAAATCTGTCTTCTTTCTTGATCATACTGGGAGCTGCAGACTGGAGCTGTTCCTATTCAGCCATCTTGGAAGCAACCTTAGTTGGAAAATTCTAAAGAGCAAATTTCTTGATATCTAATATGGGACAGTTAGTTCTACTCTTAACATAATGTTGATAAAAAGAAATAAAACGGAGCAGTTAGGATTTATAAATAGCTTTTCTCCCCAAATCTGCTGTTCAAGGTGGTAGGTTCAGTACAATTTGAGAAAGTCAAATTTAAATAGGAGATGCTATTGCCGCCACTGGGCTGTCAGTGCAGGTTTTACCATGGACAATGCTAATACTGAATGCTTGATACTCTTTCTGAATTTTGTTATACTTGTCAATGGAAACTGGATGTGGCAGCCACCATTCTCAGGATAAATTCCAAACTCTACATTGTTCCTTATATCACTAGATTTTGTTCAGAATCCAAAATGGGTACACAGGATTCATGGAGCCAATGCAAGTCCTAGTTATAGGAAAGGCTGTGTAAATATTTGATATCTATTGCAAAAGGTGGAAGACTCATAATTCTCTAAACCCAAATTGCTAAGTGGCCAAAGTGACTGTCAAATATCCCTTATACAAGTCTAAACCAAGGCTTAATTAACCTACTCTCCAAATTAGGGCACAGAATATAGTCCTAGTCCTGTCAGCTCTCCAGGTGTGTCCTTGTGGAACAAGCCAAGGTTACCACTTAATGAATGGAAACTGTTTGTGTACCCTTCATATAAAGAATGATTTATGGCCAACTAATCCATTCCTTCTGTTGTAGCATACCAATCAGCTATACCCTGGGAGTACAGGCACAGGTTAGCCTTTTAAATTGAACATATTAGTAGTGTGTCATGAAGCTATAGAATGAATTTATTCAAAATATATGTACAGAGAAAATATCTTAAAATATGTGAAATGTTTCTCTATAATCTTTAGAAGATATATTACTTTTGTGCTTATCTTTTGAATATTTCTTTGTTTCAACGTTTGATGCAGTTATGCTTTGAGAATTCATTTCCAACCAAACTTTAGGATGTGAGTTAAGAGCAGTAAGAAGCATCTTATATTTTCTACCTGGATTCCTGTTGTTACTTCCTTAAAAACCTTATCTTAATGAGCATTTACTGTGTTTCTCCTTAAACGTATACCTTGCATGAAGAAGGATTGTATAATAATTTAAAATTTTTGAATATTAGCTAGTTTGTATATGAAAGAGTGAAAATACACTGTGGGATGATGAAAATCCAATAGGAAATACATGTTTTAAAATTTCTTTAGTAGATAATAGACAGTGAATCAACATTTATTTAAAATGTAATGAAAAACCTGTAACTTTGTTTTTAGTTTTGTGAAATTATTGAAAATAGTGTTCAAAATTTTGAATTAGAACTCCATGACCCCCAAAAATGGTGAAATAGAATTGATTTGTAAGTATATATGTATACTAAATTATCTTTTATCTTTTTTGGATCATGGGATTCTAAGTCTGAATATGTATGTGTGTGTGTGTGTGTGTGTGTGTGTGTGTATACACACTAAAAACTAAATCTATATATATATATTTTTTAGGTCTGTCTGCTTGGAGGGTCTAGAAGTTGTGACACTCCACCTGCAATGAGCATATCCAGTGTTGAGATCTTGATTTCTAATATCACTCTTTAATAAAAGGAAAGGAAACCAGGGTACTTCAGAGAAGTGTCTGATTCTAGAGCTGGGCAGAGAAAATACTAGATGGTCGTGGAGTACTTGAGACATTCTCTTGTGCTAGAAAGGAAGGAAATTATCAAAAAGTAGAACAGAAAAGAAAAAAAAACAACAATATAATAATGGGATATGTCAAGTTATGACAAAGGAACTGTAGTGGGCACCTGCAGAGGTCAGTGGATCCCCAACCAAATTTGATTTGGGTATTCAGACTGATAACACCACACACACACACACACACACACACACACACACACACACAGGCTGTGAATAAATTCACTACTTGTGTAATTGGATTTGCTAAGGGGAGCTGCACATTACCTCCCAAACATTTCTGAAATGGCTTGAGAGAGCAAAGAAGGGAGACTGGCTTGGGGGTTTTTATTGCAGTTGGGGATTAGGGCCAGGGTAAGATTTCTTATATGTGAGGTGAGACTTGACTTATTTGAATCTCCCATCAGTACCACAGAAGGGAATACCCAGGCATTCTTATCCAGTTGCCCAGATGTTGGGCACAAGGGAAGAGTGAGGAGGTAAAGCTTAAAGGCTGTTGACACTCAAACATCAAACAATAGAGTCAGGTTTGTCATTATAGGAATCCAACCTGAAGGAGCTTCCAGTGATCAAACCTTCTGAAACAATTTGAGCAACAAAATAATGTAGTGTTGGATTATAACCCAAAATATAAAATAAATATCCTTGATTCCTTAATGGTATAAATAAATGATTAGTAAAAACATGTGAGAGAGTAAACAAATCTCTGCAGAAGAATCCCAAGTAATACATGTTGATAATCCTTCCCTCAAGTAGGTAGAGCTTAACAACTCAGCTGTTAAGTGTTGGCTGCACTTAGTAAGTAATGACTTGCAACCAGAAATGCAATGGAAATAGGGAAGAAAGTAACTTTACAGTGGGGAAACCTGGCAGACTTCTCATCATGTGATCAAAGGATCAAGGTTAACATTATCAGTTTTAAGTAATGTTGGTAGCATGTATCTATGATGTAATATGCTAATAATAATGGCACTCCCCTGTGGTCTTCCTCTTGCAAATACATTACTTTAGTCTAACTGTGGGAAATATATCAAGCAACCTCAAATCTAGGGCTATTCTGTAAAATACTGTCAGACTAATGTTCCCCAAAATTGTGAAGGACATTAAAATCAGGGAAAATCTGTGTATTAGTCCATTTTGTATTGGTGTAAAGGAATACCCGAGACTGGGTAATTTATAAGGAAAAGAGGTTTATTTAGCGCATGGTTCTGCAGGCTGTACAAGAAGTATAGCACCGGCATCTGCTTCTGGTGAGGGCTTCAGGAAGCTTTTACTCACAGTGAAAGGTGAATGGGGAGCAAGTATGTCACATGGTGAGAAAGGAGGGAGGTCCCAGACTCTTTGAAACAACCAGATTTCCCATGAACAGTGGGAAGAGTCATAGGCCAATCATGAGAGATCTGCCCCCATGACCCAAACACTTTCCCCTAGGCCCCACCTCCAACATTGGGGATCACATTTCAACAAGAGATTTGGAGAGGACAAATATCCAAACTACATCAGACTGAGAAACTGTCTCAGTCCAGAGGAGGCTAAGGAGACCTAAAAACTAGTTGTAAGGTGGTATTCTGGATGTGATTTTGAAACATAAAAAGGATATTATGTAAAAATTAATAAAACTAAAACTATGGCCTCTAGTTCATAATAATGTATCAATATTGGTTCATTATTTGTAAAAAATGTATCATTACAATGTATGATGTTAATGGGGGAAAAGGGGCATGGGACAAAACAGGAATTCTCAGTACTACATTAGCAACTCTTCTGTTAATCTTATGCTATTCTAAATAAAAAGTTTATTTTTGAAATTTATAATTCTTTTGGCTTCTAGGAATAGATAGTAATATTTTACTTTTTTTTTAACCTAGGCATTTCATGAGCACTCATCTATAGATTATAATTAATAAATTGTTATTTTCTATTAATAAAGAAATATTACTATCCAGTGATAGTAGAAAAAAGTATATATCTGTATGTAATTGAACAGATGGTATTTTGTATTGGTATAATCATATATAATGCAAGATGAAATAGCTTTTTAAGGTCAAATTTGAAATTTAAGTCTGTTTTTCAGGAATACAGGTAAATCATGACACCAAGCTAACAAATGTTCTTAATTATAAGACATGTTTAATAAAATAGAGAATATATGTGGGTGGAAAATGAGCTAAGAGTTTGGGGAATAAAAACAACTTCTTCATATTTTACTTTACAAGCGATAATTGCCTTATATTTTATAAATATAAAGGTGATAGTTATTGTGAAACAATTTGAACAGAGGAAAAACTGCTCTCAAAATAAGGAATTGAATAATTATTAAAGTGTACAATGAGTATTCTTAATTCAGGAAACTATGCCGTGAAATAAATGTTTCAGATGCTTACCTAAAATAAATAATTAATAATTAGCTGGTGGAATTATATTTCAACTTAAAAATATGTTTTTCTTTTGTTAAAATTTATGTTTTATTAAAAAAGGTATAAATTTAAAAGAGATTAATATTTTTTGTATTTTACAATGGATATTTAAATACTGTGTTTTATGTAACGTTTTTAAAAGTCATTTAGTGTATAACTTCATTTCTTTGAATTTTATTTTTTAGATTTCTGGACTTCAAGAAATATTGAAGAATGTGGAAATAGGACATAGTTACCATGCTCCTGAAATGAAAGGTAAATGTAAAATGTGATGAAACTCTAATTTAATATGGTTTGGTGATTTCTCAACCTTATCAGTGATTAATATTCTAGAGATATTTAAAAGTGAATAAGTGGTGGCTATTTCACAAATTAAAATTTTAATAAAAAGATTAAGAAGAAATATAGATATACTGTATGGATTAATTATAGAGAAAAACAAGTCAACCATAATGGAAGGACTTCTGTTTCTGGTCATTATACCTGGTACCAGACTAGCCTTCTCTGTATAAGTAACTCTAAAGCTAAGCTGTAAGATCGGACAACTCCTTTTAGGCAATAGAAAACAGACAGCTCAAGTAACAGAAGGCACTTGGCAGAAGGAAAATTTATAAAGTGAGCTCTGCCATCACCATGGCTTTGGGTCTGTGGAAGGTTCCAAACTGAGCTTCGTGGAGATGGATGCCAATAAGAGCATGGCAATCCTGATAATTGGAAATATCAGAGACCCTAGTTCACAGCTTTTGAAGCCACTAGAATCTGTGGGGAAGGACATCAGAGAAGAGAGCTGCAATGAGGAGTGGCTCAGTTTGTGAGGGAGTTTACTATGAGTCCTTAACTGAGGCTGCAATACAAGAGAGATGCAATTATATAAGACCAAGAGGAGGCCAGAGATTCTAGAAGTTAAGCAGTGATGGGAGACATTGCACATCTGGCCATGCCTGGGTGGAAAGACCTCTTTCACACTTTGTTAACAACACATTCACATTCAGCATCCCATATCTACCTTATAAACCAGGAACAAACCTTACACAGCATTCTTAGAGAGGACACAGAATTTGGCGTTTGAGTCTTGCCAAGTTATAGGGCCTTGAGAAACATTTAGGGCTTTCCATGGATCCACCCTTACGAAGCATAAAATTAAGCCTAGGATTTTAGGGTCATCAGCCAAAAATGGAACTGCCTTCTAGAGCAAAAAATGACATCCTTTTGAGGAAGACAGTCATCTAGAGTCTTTACAATCTTTTACCCATACTTCCTAGTACATAATTAAACATTTCTAGGAGCAGGAAAATGTGACCCATAATCAAGACATCAAGCAATACATGGAAACCTACCCTAAAGGAGCTAAATTGTTGCATTTAGCAGATAGAAAGTACTAAAGCAGATATTTTGATTATATTCAAGGACTTAAGGGAAAATATTAAGAAGTGAACAGATGGGGAATTTCAGCTGAGAAATCAAAACAAGCATACATACCAAACCAAATTGAAGTTCTACAATTGAAAAATAGAATAACTAAAATGAATTTTTTTTTTTTTTTTTTTTTTTTTTTTAGACGGAATCTTGCTCTGTCACCCAGGCTGGAGTGCAGTGACGTGATCTCAGGTCACTGTAGCCTCTACCTTCCAGGTTCAAGTGCTTCTGGTGCCTCAGCCTCTCCAGTAGCTGGGACTACAGGCATGTGCCATCATGACTGGCTAATTTTTGTATTTTTAGTAGAGATGGGGTTTCATCATATTGGCCAGGCTAGTCTTGAACTCCTGACCTCAAGTGATCCACCCGCCTCAGCCTCCCAACATGCTGGGATTACAGGCGTGAGCCACTGCACCCAATCGAAAATTTTATTGAATGTATTTCACAACAAATTAGAGATGACAGAAGTGTCAGTAAATTTCAAGAGAGATCAATAAAGGCATCTAGTCTAAAGAAGAAAGATAACAGATTAAAGGAAAACTTGCCTATTTAAGATATATAAAATTAAAGTCTCAAGAGAAGAATGAAAATGGAGCGTAAAAATATTTAAACAAATGATGGCCCCAAATTTCCCCAAATTCATGTAAAGTATAAACTTAAACACCTAAGAAGAGAGCTAATTATACACATAAAGAGAACCATTCCTGAACACACTGTGTTGAAATTGTTGAAAACTGAAGCGAGAAAATCTTGAAAGTGATAATATAAATACAGGCTGATTTCTCATAGGAAATAATGGAGGCTAGAAACAATAAAATGGTATTTTTAAAGTGTGGAAAAAATTTTAATTCAAAATTGTATATCCAATAAAAATATCCTTTAAAATTTAGATAAAATGTAGGCATTTTAAGATAAAGGAAAACTGAGAGATTTTGTTGCAAGCCTTTCTGTACAACAGGAAATACTAAAGAACTTTCTTTGGGTCAAAAAGAAAATTTGCCAGAAGGAAATTAAGATGTACCACAATTGAATACAGAGAATTAAAAATGTTAAATTCTGGTTAAAATAAGAAATATGTTTTCCTTTTCTAATATCCTCAGAAGAAAAGTGACTGATTAAAATAAAAATTATAGTGTCCTAAGGTAATGTTTATAAGATATGTAAAATAAAAGGAAAATAAATCGAGGTGTGATGGAAATGTTTTATATCTTAATTTTGGTAGTAGTTACATGCCTATTTATATGTGTCAAAACACACCTAACTGTACAATTAGAGTACATAATTTACATACAATAAAATGCATAAATTTAAGTATACCTGTGTTTATTTTTGGACAAAGAGGACTTTTTTTTTTTGGCTCAGATGGCTAGAAGGCACAGGCAGTGTTCTCAGACATGACTAGATCCAGAAGGATTATGTCCCTAGGACCTGGTCGCTGCCTCTCTCTTGTGAGCTGGCTTCATTTTTTAAAAAGGATAAACTTTATTTTTTAGAGCAGTTTTAGATTTATAGCAAAATCGAGCGGAAGGTACAGTGATTTTCCATATACCACCTGCCCCCACCCGTATACCACCTGCTCCCAGACATAGCGTCCCCTATTATCAGCATCGCCTACCAGATTGATACAGTTGTTAAAACTGATGAGTGTCCATGGAATTATTATCATCCGAAGTCCATAGTTTACATTAGGGTTCACTTTTGGTGTTGTACATTCTATGGAATTCAACACATTTATGACATGTATCCAACATTATAGTGTCATACAGAGTAGTATCACTGCCCTAAAAACCTTTTGTGCTTTGCCTATTCATCTCTCCTTCCTTCCTACTTTTCTAATATTTTATGTTAAAGTAGTATCAGTTATGCCCAGTGATTCCTAAGGGACTATGCACAAGGATGTTTATTGCAGTCATAATAGTAACACAACAATACAAGCAATCTCACTTTTTAACCACCAGTGAATGTTTATAGTTGATCATACAATAATAAAAAGTCTCTAAAAATCATGCATAAGAAACACTTATGTTACAATGTTAAGAAGTAAAAACATTTATATGGTACAAGTGTATGCCTGTTGAATATATGCAAAGAAAAAATATTAGAGGGTACACATCAGGATTTTAACATAACTTTCTCTGTGTTATGTGACTACTTCCTACCCTTTTTCTTTATTGTGTCTTTTACAAAGAATGTACATTTCTGTCAACATCACAAATTGTTTTAATATTAAGATAACTTAAGAAGAATATAATCAGATATAAATATTAAAGGATGGTTTGAAATTATCATAATTTCATGAACAGTAACTCCAAAAATGACTGAATATTCTGAAAAAGAATATATGTAAAACAGTTTAAAGGTTGAGGGATTTCGTGAATTGGGTTGATGTTTGCACCAATTAATCTCTAATGATTCATTCTACTCTAATGGTTTAAATTTTATATATTTATGCTTGACATATCAATTAAAATAAACTGATGCTTGACAGATAACTCATTTATGAAATTATCTCCTGGTGTTTAGTCTAATTCATACAAGAACATATTGCATGTTTTTCTTGAGTGATATTTTCAAGGTACTTTGGAGATTAAACTTGTAATTGTTATTTTGATCTGTGATATTTTCAAATAGCTTTTAGTCAAAAGAAATTCTGACCCAACATGGGGAAATAGTTTCTTTTAGTTATATATCCCAACTATCTGATCAAAAGTAATTATTTAAATCCTGTACTGAATAATTTTATGCTCTTTGTAAACATGAACTCTAGTTTTAGATATGGAACTTGAAGCACTTTTCCCTAAGCTTCTGATCTCAGCATTTGTCTGTGGGCCCTTAGACTGTCATGTCTCCAGTTGCTAAAACTTGGTATCCTACTTAGTCAGGGACTGTAATTTGAAAAGACGAGGCGGGCGTGGTGACTCACGCCTGTAATCCCAGCTCTTTGGGAGGCTAAGGCAGGCAGATCATGAGGTCAGGAGATCAAGACCATCCCGGCCAACATGATAAAAGCCTGTCTCTACTGAAAATACAAAAATTAGCTAGGTGTGATGGTGCATGCCTGTAATCCCAGCTACTCAGGGGGCTGAGGCAAGAGAATCCCTTGAACCAGAGAGTTGGAGGTTGCAGTGAGCCGAGATCATACCACTGCACTCCAGCCTGGCAACACAGCAAGACCCCGTCTCAAAAAAAAAAAAAAAAAAAGAAAGACAATCTATAGGTTAAGTGGTTGTTCCTCATAATTCCTGTGATTCTTCATATTTTCATATTACTTCCTCCCTCTTTACTTGCTCATTTAAATTTAGTTTTAAAAATACTTCCCTCTCTCTCTCATTTATCCATTCATCCACCCATCCATCCATCTATCCATTTATTTTGGGCAGAAGTTGGCGTGTCAATAGAGATTCTTCAAATTAAACATTATTTACTTTGAAGTTGGAAAACAACAAATTGATTGTTATTTACTCTAAACTTTGGGAACAAGACACATTAATTGTTATTTAATCTAAATTTAGGGAATAAGACACAAATTGGAATGATTTGGAGCAAAGTTAGCAAAGTATTTTAAACATACTTTTTTGACTACCAAAGTGATGTTTATTATAGAAAATGCAGACAATGATAACATATATTTTAAATAATCACCACATAATTGCTGCCATACAAAGATAATATTAATACTTTATTACCTAATCTCACCTGAAAAGAGTTTTCAATTTTACATTTATTCTGTCTGGTAGGTCAAAAGTAGAAAAATTTCTGGGAGAAACTATGAAATAATTATTATTGAGTAGATATTTAAACTGAAAATTATGGATGATGTTTTTATTTTTATTAAGGGTCATATTTATCAAATATTTACATGACACTATACAGAAAGCACTTTTTAGTACTACATATTATGAGATAAAACTTTTTTTGCAAATTAATTTCAAAAAGCTTATAAAATCTACTGGTTTTGATTGTCATCCTTGTATTAGTTATCTTGTTTGCTATAAGGTTGCAATTTCAGTGCAATAATGCCTATTTTTAAAGCAGATCATAATGATACATATAATTGCATTTTAGCATATCTTATAATGTATAGGAAATTATTAATTCAGGATGACCTTCTAGAAATTGGAAATGCTTGGTGAAGTGAAAAATTGTGAAAGCTGACTTCAGAGCTTTAAAGAGGAAATAAATGTCATGTATAGTAAAGCAAAGTAGCTCTTACATTAGTACTTCAAAATTAACAGTAGAGCAAGTACTGATTATTTCTTATAGTTTAATTAATTGCTGCTTTTTAAGTTCATGTTTTGTTGCTGCTCAGAACTGCATTATGAGATGCCAAATTCATGTAATTATATAGTCTATATGGTCTAATTAATAGAGACTTTTTTCAAATATAGCATCTTCTCATTTACCTCTATTATCTTTTTCTGAATTCTAATTACATAGATCTAACCAATCTTCTCATTTTAGTTTACGTGTGTTGCAATCTCTTAGACATTTTCTATTTCTCTGGGGTAAATTATAGAAAATGTCTTCAAAACCTTTTTCAGTTAAAAAATTCTCTTTTCAGTTTTATTTGCTCTATAAGGAAGTTAGGGAGTGGCACAAGGTAAGTGCTCTTTACATATTTGTTTAGTTATGGTATTTATGTCTTTCTGATATTTATCCAAGAGCCTGAACATGTTAACATTGATTGAATGTGTACACACGTGAAAGAACAATTGAATGGGTAAAATTTAGCAATGGAAAGTATAATAAATAGAATTTCTATAAATGAAAGTGTGTTTGTTTATTTGCTGTTTGTTTTATCTCAAGAAAGTATGGATGCTTTAAAATGTTGACTTTACCTAAGTAAAATTTGGAAAACTACACAGTACCTGTTGGTTCAATAGCCTTTGTCATTAATAAGCATTAGATGACAGCCATGAGAAGCTATGATAGAGACAAAGACTTTGCTGGGATATTACTCAACATTGAGAAGTGCTATATAGAATCTGAGAATTACATGCACTTAACACTGAATGTGATACAGACTTTATTGTCTGCACCTTTCGTTTGTTCTGTAAATTTTTGTGTAAGTAAAAGTGATACTTATTTGCTGGAGAGTGGAAATCATATTTATTCTCACTACATTGAGAAATAATTGAAAAACATTTTTTTCTGCCAGTACTCTGTACATTCTGCAGTGTTTATTCCTAAGTTTTGCTTTTAAATGTGTAATACTTTCCTAAAATTTTATTAAGTGTGCATTTTTCATTTTGCTTGTAGAGCAACAACATATACACATAAACCATGCCCTTTTGGACTTTCCACCTTTGTTATTCTTACCATATTTGTTTGTTTGCTTGCTTTTTAATTTTATTTCTTTTATGAAGTGGCCTTTAGCAGTGTCTTACATGCTACATGAAATCTGCTTATATTGCTGGAAGTATCTGTTGGATTCTTGAGTTTCTCTCCCTACTGATTTCTCTTTTCTTTCCTCTGATATTACTATATGCATACCCCTTCTCAGATACAATGGGAACAAAAGGTAGTGTGACCTTCACAAGATTGTTTGCATAATTGCATAAAATTGTATATATAAGTTGTTTAGAATAGTGTACATTATGTGGTAAAACATCCATGAGGCTTGAATGTTAGTTATTGTTTTTAATTATTATCAGGGTGACACCCCTGGAATTTGAAGGGGAAAATATAATAAAAGAGAATCAGAAGTAAATATTTTCCCTTAATCTCAGCAAGCTGTAATTGTTGCCTTTCCTCTAGACTTCAGCATCCTAGATGCTATGGGACTCTAGCTTATAGCACCTTCGGGGAGGACGGGCAGTTTGGATACCCAGGTCTCTCAAGTACTTTCATGTAACATGGGGTTATGGAACATTTTTTAATGTTATTGTGGGAGTTATTTTGACGATTTTCTCCTTTGTCTAGAACTGGTATTGAATAGAAAAAATTAGTCAGAAAATAAAATAAAATAAATGCCAGCCATTTTCTTTCCTGCCTTTATAATCTCAGGATTTCTTAAGAGAGACTTGACATTGAAATCATCCAGATATTTCTTTGTTCATCATCTTTTCTCTGTTATAAATCTAGTGTTATAATTTGTAACATTTAGTTGTTTATTTGTGTTAGTGATTATAACCTTCTTAGTTTTTTGCAATCAACTTACTGTTTAAAAATACAAGTGGAAATATGTGTATGTATTATATGTAGAAAAATGTGAGAACTTTTTCTGTCAATTCCCCACTCTCAAATGATTCCATTAAGACTGCTTATTATATCCATGAGAAGTAGGAGACCAATGTTACAACTATTTTGAATATTACCCTGTGTTTTTCCTTTTTGTCCTTAACATAGGGAAGCATAGACAATAATATTTTATTAATACAATATTCTCTTTTTTATAATAAAAGTATGTATTATCTAGTTTCATGTGGGAAGTTTTGTCATTTCTTATCATTCTATTCTTCACCATCTTTAACTCTCTTTATAAACACACAAAGCCTAGTGATAACAGGAATTCGGATATATCATAACTGGGCTCTGTAACTGACTCGCCATGTATTTAGTTAACCTTGTAGTAATGCCACTCTGCATTTTTAGGAACAGAATCTTGAGACCACACCTAAAGCATTTGGTATGGTTTGGGTATCATTAATTTAATGAATTTTTAAAAAATACATGCATCATTAAGATCTTGGTTTTCATATTTTTGGTTGCAATCATTTTATACAGATAAACAGTGCAAATATTAAGAATAAATTACATTATCTTGTAGTTGGTCGTAGTCGTGTAAAAGAAAATACACCAGAAGGTCCTACTCAGAAAGGTCTTCGTGAAGCCAGAGAACAAAACAAATGTAAAACAAAGATGAAAGGCAATACAAAGGTATGATATTTGTTTTTGTTTGCATTAAGTCATACTTAACTCTCAGATCTTTAGATCCATTCACTCATATGGTATCATTATTTTACCAGAAAAGGAATTTAGAGGTTATATATTCCAGGCTACTTGGTTTATACATGGACAGTGGAAGTATCCAAATGTTACTAGTAAGTAGTTAATTCAGGGACACAGGCTTATTAGTAGCAGAGACAGCTCAATGGATCACTCTGCCACCTATCCCAATGTAATCATGATCATGTCTGCTCACTTGCTAACTTTTCTGCTTGAAATTACCTCTGTCTAAAAGAAATCACTCCCAGGTCATATCTTGTTATTTCTTTTCTCAAAATGTAATGTCAGACTTTACTTAGTCTCTTTAAAGGTAGAATGGAATAGCATTATGCTCCATTTAATGATCTCTTTATATCTTGAGTACCTTCACTTTGTAATCAGACTGGTAGTTTAAATCTTCGCCAGTGATTAAAGAAAATGGTATTAAAAATGGTTGGCCAAAGAGATCGAAAATGAAGAAAATTACATAAAACCTGTTAAGAGTTTAGTTTATTATTATGAAAATTACATAAAAGTCTAGCTCTGGTAATGAATTTTCTTGTAAGGCAGTTGTTACCTTAGAGTTCTAAAATATCTGGCACTTATTTTAAAATAAAAATATTTACAATTATAATAGCTTCTTAGTAATTCTAGAAGAAGAATAGATTTGTATGAATTCAAATAATAGCATTAACTTAGGTAATGCCAATAATTTTTTTTTTCTCTCTAAAACATGCATTGGATTCTGGTATTGTATAAAATATTTGAATAAAATAAAATCTAATCACTTTTTGGTTATAATAAGCTTTTTATTATAATCTTGTACTTTTTCAGATTAGTGTTTTGTTGTTTTTCTGTCATCATAATTATAGATTATGGTATGTGAGGTAGACTTACATCAGATTTAAGGATTTTTGGAACGATGGAGGTGATTGTCATCAGAAACATTTTCATCTTCTAACGGTATAAGTATTCTCTTTCAGGTAGTAAGTCATATTTAGAAGTGATTTGTTGATTCATTTACTCAGTGTTACGGCTTGTGAGTTTAGATTAGTAATGCAAGGTTGACCGTCTGTGTGACAAAAAGCTACTAAAATGTAGGAAAAGTATGTTGCATATTTATGCATAGTATGTTATTTTATGGTGTTGCATTCTGATATTTAATGTAATACCTACAGCGTGATAGAAAACACAGGTCATATTAAAGGGCTAAAGTATAAAATAAAGTGAATCCTTCTCACCTTCATTGAGTAATCATTTTTAGTAATATTTCTCTTAATTTTCTTGTAGTTATTATTCTCACCTTCATTGAGTAATCATTTTTAGTAATATTTCTCTTACTTTTCTTGTAGTTATTATTATAACAAATGACTGAGTTCTGTTTCTATTTTTTTAATAATTCACTTCACATGGTATCTATTGACTCCGCTGTGACAAAGAGGCATTTAGAGCATTTTACTGACTTGATTTGAGTTACATTATTATGCATGTTGTCATAATTGATAACATTTACATTTGTTCTGTAGTCTTAATTCTATTTTCTATGCTTTGTCTGAAAATTAATACTAACATTTAATCCCATAAACAGCATTTAAATGGATTATGTTTAAGTAAATGTGATTTATTGCAGACATTGCAAATCTAACTAGAACTGCAGAGGAGGAAGAAGAATACCTGAAATGCATAGGACTGTATTTAAAGATTTCTCTTTTAAAAACAGTCACTCTTTTCTACTTCCTTGGCTTACACTCAGCTGCCCCTGTTATGTATTCTCATATTTTCCTTCGTAGATTGCTTTTTCTATTTTCCTAGAGTATATCCTTGAGTAATTTTCAAAAAGGGCTGATGGAGACAAATGATCTAAGTTCATATGTCTGAAATATTCTTGTTTTGCCTTACACTGAGTTGATATTTTGCTGGAAATAGAGTTCTAGTTTTAAATTAACTTTTCACCAGAATTTTAAAGGCATTGTTTTAATGTCTTAGAGGATAGCAATAATTGCTGTTGGTCTGATTCTTGTTACTTTGTTGGGAAGTAAAAAATACCATATACAATACAATGTACCAGTAAACTAGTATTTTGAACAACTAGAACAGTGAAGTGTAATCATAATAACAATTTTATTTATGTGACCTACTGATTCTTAAAGCTGCTCAGTGGAGGTAATTCAACCCTTACCCTAGGGTGGTAATTCATTTCAGATTTCATGAAATTATTAGTTAAGTGTGTGTTTACTCTGGTTGCAAAACACAGTCTCAAATCAGTAATTAAATATGTCCAGCTTTATGTAACACAAAAGCTCCACATTCGACATGAAGTTAAGCTGGGACCTTCTTTGGGCTAGACATTTGCAGTGTGGAAGGGGTTGTAATGGTGGTGGTGTGTGGCCATTCGTAAATCTTTTCCTCTTACTTTTTCCCTAGTTTGCTAACTGGGAAGGTTGAAGGTGCAAGGAGTGAGAAATTAAAGACGAATGAAAGAGTTGTTACTTGACTTGAGATACCTTATGATAGCTTAGAGTTTTTTGAACTTGGCAAAATCAGAAAGCTTTTATCCTGATGAGCACTGTATTAGGGCTCTCCAGAGGGATAGAACTAATAGGAGATTATATATATATGTATGTGTGTGTGTGTGTATATATATATATCTAGAGGGATAGAACTAATAAGATATGTATATGGGGAGTTTATGAAGTATTAACTCACATGATCACAAGGTCCCACAATAGGCTGTCTGCAAACCGAGGAGCATGGAGAACCAGTCTGAGTCCCAAAACTGAAGAACTTGGAGTCTGATATTAGAGGGCAGGAAGAATCCGGCATGGAGAAGGATGTAGGCTGGGAGGCTAGGCCAGGCTGGTCTTTTCACATTTTTCTGTGTGCTTTATATTCTAGCTGCACTAGGAACTGATTAGATGGTGCCCGCCCAGATTAAGGGTGGGTCTGTCTTTCCCAGCCCACTCACTCAAATGTTAATCTCCTTTGGCAACACCCTCACAGACACACCCAGGATCAATACTTTGCATCCTTCAATTCAATCAAGTTGACAGTATTAACCATCACAAGTCCCCCCCTTGTCAACTTGAACCCGTACAGATCTGCTGAGATCATACATAATCTTCAAATAAAGACAATAATAAGGTCATAATTATGCCTAACATAACACAACTATCCTTTATATAACCAGAAATGCATCAGTTCCCAACTCAAGTACTATTACATAAAGTTAACAATACTTAAATGCTGATGTGAAGTCAGTAAATCTTATGTGATAAGGGAAAAAGGAAATAAAACGAAGGTATATTCTTAATGCAGTGTATACATGCACAACCATGGTTTTAACAAAAGAAGGAGGGAATACCCATGACAATTACAGTCCTCGTTTCTGCAGCTGGTCATGTGGTCATAGCTGGTATTGATTACTACCTTGTTCTAACCTGTATTCCCTTTGCCTTCAGCAAGTACCTCAGCAGGTTGTGGATTTTTTCCTGGTGGAGTGACCCAAATCTTCATCCTTGAAGGATCTGGGCCATATGCAGTCCTGCCCAGATTGGGCTGTTGTAATTTCCCATTGATCATAATCACAGGGCATGACAATACTAAGAGACACCCTAACAGATCTCCTGTATTCATGCATACTCGTTGCTACCTCCATTGTGGGGTAGTAGACTGATTTCGTCTTGATAGTCTGGGCCATTCACCCCAGCCAACACTGTAACTCCCTTCTTAGCCTGTTGACTTAAAGGTAGGAGGAGCCCAAAGTGTCTAGGTGGCAATCTTAACTTCCAGTTAATGGAATACACACACACACACGCACACACACACACACACATATGTGTATCTCCTATTAGTTCTATCCCTCTGGAGAGCCCTGACCAATACGGTGCTCATCAGGATAAAAGCTTTCTGATTTTGCCAAGTTCAAAAAACTCTAAGCTATCATAAGGTATCTCAAGTCAAGTAACAACTCTTCCATTTGTCTTTAATTTCTCACTCCTTGCACCTTCAACCATTGTTGTGTCTCCTGGTGGCAGCGTTCTTCCCTCTGGAACTAAGACCTATAGACCAGCAGAATATAATGTTGTGTGAACAAGAAGCAAGAATTTTGCTAGTGCAACCCCTTCTGCACTGCATCACTAGGGGTGATGGTGAGTGGTGCCACTTCCACTTCCACCCCTTGATTCCTGGACCCATGAATCCTGGCTATGGGAGAAACAGTACCATATATTGAATGCTGATTCAGAGCATACACACCTTCTGGAGAACTTTGCCTCAGCCCAGCAAAGTATCATCACCTAGTTGGTGTTGTAATTGTGACTTCAAAAGGCCATTCTACGGTTTTATCAATCCAGCTGCTTCAGGATGATGGGGAAACATGGTAAGACCAGTAGATTCCAGGAGCATGAGCCCACTGCTGCCCTACTTTAGCTGTAAAGTGAGTGCTTTGGTCAGAGGCAATGCTGTGTGGAACACCATGATGGTGGATAAGGCATTCCGTGAGTCCATGGATGATGGTCTTGGCAGAAGCATTGCGTTTAGGATAGGCTAACCCATATCCAGAGTAAGTGTCTATTCCAGTAAGGACAAACCTCTGCCCTTTCCATGATGGAAGAGGTCCAGTATAATCCATCTGCCATCAGGTAGCTGTCTGATCACTCTGAGGAATGGTGCCATATTGAGGGCTCAGTGTTGGTCTCTGCTGCTGGCAAATTGGGCACTCAGCAGTAGCCATAGCCAGGTCAGCGCCATGGTGAGTGGAAGTCCATGTTCCTGGGCCCATGTGTAACCTCCATCCCTGCCACCATGGCCACTTTATTCATGGGCCCATTGGTGATGACAGGGGTGGCTGGGGAAAGAGGCTGAGTGGTGTCCACAGAATGGGTCATCCTATCCACTTGATTATTAAAATTCTCCTCAGCTGAGGTCATCAGTTGGTGAGCACTCACATAGGA